CATGGAGGAGATCCAGGAATTCCCAGAATCTTGAAGGGAAGGCCATGCCCACACAGAGGCCTCATTGGCTATGACCTGATTGACAGACTAGACTCCACCCCTTCACTCTTAATCCTCTCAAGTCCCAAATTGACACCAGATTTTGTAACAACCACAGTACTGCACACTTAATATAGTGCTTTTCAGTTCTCCTCCTTATGTGTCATTCGGTCCATGCTTCAAAGAGCTCCCTTCCGAGGTCACTGGGGAAGGGAGGGGAGCTGCAAGGGGCCCAGTCTTCCTCCTCCCCTTCAGCAAGAACCTTTCTGGTCCTGTTGCTTTTCAATTTGTTTTCATTGTAACAAAGTGAAAATAAATCCACTAATCTACAAGGCTGAAAATCCATCATCCTTCTGATTCCGTTGACCAAATTTTGTTTTACAAAATGTCCTGACTTCTCAGGAACCTATCTTTTTTTTTTTTTTTTTGTTGCATAGGAAGATAACCCTTCTTTGGGAGCAATGCACTATGAGCACCAGAATAAGAACTACTCCCCTGGGGGTGTCCCAGGACCAGTTTGCCCCCAAAAGGCTCAGCAAATTCTCACCAGCATTCAGACAGGCGAACGTGGTGCTTCATGTAAAATCCAATCCCGGCTCATCTTCATGCGCGTCCCTGCATGAACACTGAAAGTGGGTGCGTTAGGGGTGCTCCCCTCGCTTTGAGAGCATCGCCCATGACTGTGGTTTTTCTTTTTTAGAGAGCTGGATCGAAAGATGTCTCAACGAAAGTGAAACCAAGCGCTATTCCAGCCACGCGTCTCTGGGGAATGTTTCTAATGACGAAAGTAAGTGCGCAACACTCCGCCTTCCAAACTCTCTCCACAGCCGTGTTGGCGTTTCTTTGCGAGCTGGGTGAAGGCTCGCCGAGCAGATCCGTTCCCATTCAGTCACTCACGCACATTTGCTTCCCCTCATTGATTACAATCCCCACAATGTCACCTCACGCACCCCACTTTCCGCTTGTGTCCTGTGCCCATGACTTCTTTTCTGACCCTTCTCAACAGGGTCCTTGGGTAAATGCTGCCCTTGGAAGGTTTTGAAGGTGCCCTTAACTTTCTAATGCTATTCTTCCCCTCAAAGACTTATTGTTTGACTGAAAATTGAGCCACAGGAGGGGGGGTATATAAATTAATTTCCACACTTGAATGCTGAATGAGTAAGGACCATAATCTCAGGGCTTCCACCAGCCTTTATTTAACCTATAAGCCTCATTTTTTTTCAAAATGATTTTTAGTTCTGTTCCACATGTTTCTCCCATCCTATCCAAGACCGTATAAACCGTATAATGTGATTCTTCTTAGAGAATTTTTTTTTCTAAATCATTTTATTGGGCACTCTTACAGACATCATAACATTCTATAGCTCAATCACATCAAACAGTACTGCTACCTCAGTCAGTTTCAAAACATTTTCTTTCCTCTTGAACTCCTTGATATCCTCCTTATCCCCTCCCTCCCCCCTCCCAACCCCCACCCAGCAGTAACCCTTATTTAGTTATGCTTTGCTGCACCTCACACCTTCCAATATCTCCATTCTCATGCAGTTCTGTTGTCCGCTCCCCGCGAGTGGGGTTATACCATCACCAGTGCTATCAGCTCCCCCCGCCCCTCCTCACCCTCTCACTTCCCACACCCTCAGGGAACCATTACTCCCCTTACTGTTTCTGAAGGGTTTTCTATCTTGGCTTTCATGTAGCGAATGATCTTAATTATACAAATGTACATTCAGAAGTCTAACATGATTAATCAAGTAAAACAAATAAAAACCAGAATAGTAAGGGAGGGAATATTAAAGAGCTAGAGAATGGTTATGTGTTTCATCAGTGCTGTACCACACCCTGGATTGACCATCCTTTCCGTGTGGCCCTTCTGAGAGGGACTGTCAGAGCAGTTGTTAACAGGAGGACACCATCTAGTTCTTCTGGTCTCAGGGTCCCAGAGACGGACCTCTGTGTGGTCCATCAGTCAATTGGACTAATGGTTTCCATCTGTCCACCGATTGTCATCACGTCTTTCCTCAGGATCAGGAGAGCCCAGTCATTTACCTTCGATGGCCTCCTGTGAGTTTTCAATGCCCCAGTTGCTACTCACCAAAGTTGGATGTGATACATTTTCCTTGTGGACTATGTTTTGTAGGTTTATCTCAGTGTTCTCTAAAACTATGTCTAAGACATTTTCATAACTCTGCCTCCTGTATGCTCTACCACATTCACGGATGCATTCGGAGCAAAATCAAATACTCACATACAACTATGCGGTCAACCCCTAAAACACAAAGGAATAGCACGCCTTACAATGCTGCCAGGCTGGAGTGAGGCACAGGGGACGGGACACTCTCGGGCCACGTAGGAAACCCTCTAGAACCACCCTGTGCCAGTCCACCGCTGTCCAGGAGGCATGGAGTGCACGGCCCCTGCAGGAGCTGGCAGTGAGCAGCCTGCCCTTCTGCAGTGGACTGCCTAGCCTGGGTCTCCGAAGGTTCTTCTACAGTGACGTCCAGTGAGCGAATGCAGGTCCTGAGCCAGAAGGCCACCCCAGCGTCAGAGAAGACGTGGTTTAAAGTCACTGTGTCATAGGCTTGTTGTTTAGGGTCACGGTGTCTTTCTTGGTCAAAAGTAAAGCTTTCTTGCTCTGTTTATTCCTTTCCTGTTTCGTGTCCGACTGAATGGCCGGTTGCTATCTTTTAAAGAGCGGACGAATGAATACGCAGGGCTTGTGGCTACCTCTTTAGAAAGCCCTCTGTGCTCCACAGGGTTGTTGTTAGTTTTTTTAATCATTTTATTGGGGCTCATACAATTCTTATCACAACTAATAGATCCATCCATTGTGTCAAGCACATTTGTACATTTGTTGCCATCATCATTCTCAACACATTTTCTTTCTACTTGAGCCCTTGCTATCAGTTCCTCATTTCCCCCCCCCTCCCTCCCTGCTTCCTCATGAACCCTTGATAATTTAGTTCTTAAATGCTTCCTCCCCCCACTATCATGCTCCCAATTCTACCTTACAAATCTGGCTAGACCAGAGGATGTACACTGGTACAGATAGGAACTGGAAACACAGGGAATCCAGGACAGATGATCCCTTCAGGACCTGTGGTGAGAGTGGTGATACCTGGAGGGTAGAGGGAGGGTGGGATGGAAAGGGGGAACTGATTACAAGGATCTACATATAACCCCCTCCCTGGGGAATGGACAACAGAAAAGTGGGTGAAGGGAGACGTCGGACAGTCCACAGGGTTTTTAGCAGCTGATTTTTCAGAATTCGACCACCAGGCCTTTCTTTCAAGTCATCTGTGGGCGGACCTGTTCCCATAGCAACTGAGCCCATTAACCCTTTGTGCCATCCACTGACTATTTGCAACCCAATCACCCTAAGAGGGACCAGCTGCTAAAGTTGAACTCCTTCGCTCAGTTTTCTCAAAGCATGGGCTGCAGACCACCCATCCCATCATCCTCAGTGGTGTTTGTTCGGCGTGCTCAATGGCTGCCAGCTCTGCCTGAGCTCTCCTGGCCTTGTCCGGGTATCATGATTGTTTGTTTCATTTTACTAAACGGCGATACAATCAACCCAATTGTTCACCAATCTTGGTGAATTTTGCTGACACATTAAATCCCCTTGGGTAACCACCCGCCGGGTAAAAAGTTATGGCACCTTTCTCGGGCCTTATGTCCCCACCCCGGTTCATAACCATGTCTTCAGGTCTGTCATTATCGATTGGTTTTGCCTGTTTTTGGAAATTCGTCTCAGTGTGTATTCATTGTATTCGATTACGGAGTGTATCCGATTGTGTCTCGCTTGTGTTCATTCAGGGTAGTACCTGGGAGATTCATCCCGTCATTGTGTGGAGTAGTGGGAGCTCTTGGGCTTGCTGCCTTACTCTGCCATCGTTGACTCCCTGTTCAAATATCAATGGGTATTTAGGTTGTTTTGGGTTTGGGGCTACTAAGAACGGAGCATCTCTGTACAAGTAACATGGTAGACATGAGCACTTGCTCCTATTGGCTCCGTTCTCCACAGGGCAATGGCTGAACCCTAAGGATATATGTTCTAGCATCGTCAGCTCCAGTAGATATAGCTAAGCCGTTTCTGGAGTGTTGTACCAATTAAGATTCTCATCCAGCAGCCTATGAAAGTTCAACTTATTTCATGTCTTTGCCGATAGTTTGCAGTGTCAGTCCTTTCAATTTTAGTCGTTGTCAGGATGTATGGTATATGTCATTATGGTTTTAATTTGCATTTCTGTCTAATGACTCGTGATCTGTAGCATCTTCTAACATGCTTATTGGGTAGGTGGGTATCCCCTTTTGTATCTATCTATCTATCTATCTATCTATCTATCTATCTATCTATCTAATCTATTGTGTTTGTCTTAATGGCCTGTAAGAGTTGTGTGTGTGTTCTGGGTAGGGGAAGCTTGGCTGTGAGTGTTGAAAGTTTCTTCTCTCAGTCTGTGGCTGGTCTTTTCATTCTCTTATGGATATCTTTTGATGACTGGGAGTTTTAAAATTTTAATTAATTCCCATTTATTAACATTTGTGTTTAGTAGTTAGTCAGGTTTTTTTTTTTATGTGCGTGTGTCCTTTGGAAAGTTTTGCCTACCCAAGATTACCTTATTATACTCTTGCATTATCTTCCACAAGTTTTATTATTTTACTTTTCACTTTCATATCAACAGTCCATCTGGAACTTTTGTGTATGTGTGGGGGAAGTTCTTTTTTTCTTGTTAGTTTTCAGTAATAGAGCACCATTTGTTGAAGAGATCATCCCAGGGGAGACTCTGTCCTGAGCCTGCCAACCAGGTGCACTGGAGAATGGTGTCTGGGAGCTTTAATTAACTCCTGTGACATTATAATAAGTTGTGATATATGGTGGTATATTCTGTTTTTAGATGACTATTTTCCTTAATCTAAGTTCTTAACATTTCCGTATAGATTTTAGAATCAGCTTGTCAATTCTTTCTTTCTTTCTCTCTCTCTCTCTCTCACACACACACACACACACACAGAGAGAGAGAGAGAGAGAGAGAGAGAGAGAGAGAGAGAGAGCGAGAGCTAGGGAGCTAGGGTTCTGATTTGGTTTACATGAACTCGATAATCCATTGGGGAGAACTGAGAGCTTGACAATATCAAGTTTCAAATATATCAGAAAGTATTTCTTCTAGGGCTTCTGATCATATGTGCCTGGGTTTATTCCAAACAAAATGTTCTGAAGCATATTTCTATGATCAGTTCTTCCTTCTTGTGTCCTGTTCCCATGACTTCTTCTTTTCTAACCCTTCTAAACTCTGTCCTTGGGTAAATGCCGCCCTGGGATGATTCGAAGGTGTGCTTATCTCACTAATGCTGTTCTTCCCCTCAAAGATCAAATTATATAATACCATCCTTGATAGTCATATATGCAAGTAAATTTTGCTGAAAATCATTCAACAACGGTTGCAGCCGTGCATTGACAGGGAGCTGCCAGAGGTTCAGCCTGGATGCAGAAGAGGACGTGGAACAAAGATATCATTGCTGATGTCAGATGCGTCTTGGCTAAAAGCCAAGAACATCAGAAAGATGTTTACTTGTGTTTCATTGACCATGCAAAGGTATTCAACTGTGCAGATCATAAGCTATGGATAGCCTTGAGAAGAATGGGAATTCCAGAACACCACATTGTGCTCATTTGGAACCTCTACATGGATCTAGAGGACGTTGCACTGGTAGAGGAAGGGAATCCGGCATGGTTTAAAATCACAGTGCCTGCACCAATGGGCTCAACATCAGAACAATTGTGATGATGGC